CACACACACACACACACACACACACACACACATTCACACACACACACACACACACACACACACAGACTGTTAGCATGCATTAAGAAATGGTGACAATTTCTTACAATAAGGTCCAATTAGTTAACATTCGTCAATGCATTAACTAACAACATGCAATAGATCTGTTGCAGAATGTATTCATCTTTGTTGACTGTTAGTTAATTTTAGCACAGGTCTGTGGCTCGTCTATCGTTTCCAAACTATGGTTTCCCAGTCATATTTCAATATTTAACATGCAATGACTACTATTATTAGGGCCCGAGCACCGATGGTGTGAGGACCCTGCAAAAAAAATCTAAATATTGAGAAAATCATCTTTAAAGTTGTTCAAATTAAGTTCTTAGCAATGCATATTACTAATCAAACATTAAGTTTTGATATATTTACGGTAGGACATTTACAAAATATCTTCATGGAACATGATCTTTACTTAATATCCTAATGATTTTTGGCATAAAAGAGAAATGTATAATTTTGACCCATACAATGTATTGTTGGCTATTGCGACAAATATACCCCAGCGACTTAACACTGCTTTTGTGCTGCAGGGACACATATATTATAGACTAAATACATTTCAAATACATTAACAAATGTAATTTTGGAGAACACACTTAAGTCGAAATTAAAATCAATTATTTTACATGTGCTTCAGTATATTGGTAAATATATCAAAATAAGTGTACTTATTTAAAACACTATAAAATCATAATTATGTCAAATGAAAGTTTAAGTAATACTTAATTAGACATTATTATACAGTGCATTTTTTAAAAGTGCACTTAAGCATGTTAAGAAATATTGTCATTAAAGTGTACTCTCTTTAAGTTCACTTACGTGGCCTTTAATTTAAATTATATTATCTGCAAATGCACTTTCTAAAAAGTATACTTTTAAGATTTGAAGTACACAAAAAATACACTTTTAATACAATGAAGCAGACTTGTTTTTGATAAATCTGCTGGACTATAAATTAACAGGTAAATATAACCTCTGCAACACGGTCTGATGTATATTTATATAGATATATCTATCTGTCGCTGGAGGTCAGGAGGTGAGGAAAGAAAGATATATACTCGTCTAGAAAACATTATCAAGCGACACACTTCTACAGGCAAAAACAGAGGAATATAAGACAATATTTAACAGCTTTTGGCTCATTTAATTAGCGTATCCTAACGATACCTCTGAGTAATATTCATCCTGTGTCCTCGTGAATGTATACTCGTTTATGTCCTGTTTTTAACCTGGCAACACATCTGTATCTGTGTATACTCTCTCTCTCTTTCTTTGTTTTGTGTTTATAACTATACTGTCTTAATGGTTTGATGTTTTCAAATGGTTTACTGTTTAATAAGATTTGCGATACGCGCACCGAAGTTCCGATCTAAAAAATCCCAAGTTCGGTGGACCCAAGTTGTGTTGGAATTAATTGATTACATACATTTTATTTTCATTTTCGGTTTAAATATTTGGCTAATTTGAATTTTTAATTCTGGATTCAGTGTTTCAAAAAGTCTACTATTAATGCAATTCTACAAAAAAAAAAAAAAAACTATATCATTTTGTTTATGGCCAAGTGCATCATTTCAGAGCATCACTAGCATTCACACCAGAAATACAGTTTCAGGAAACAGAGAATATTTTTTACAGTTAATGCCTCAATAATGTGCTTTATGAGAGAACTTTTAAACGGTTTTTAAACGAAAAGTCAAAAATGTAGTTTGAGCTGCATGTCACGCTGATTGATGGAAAAACTATTTTAGGGGAAATTAAATAACAAGTACGTTTGGCTGTCTTGTCCATCATATTTATTTTCATTTAAATTACATTTAATTTATTAGCAAAATGCAAATGAGCGCCAATCACGTGATATCCAGCTGTCACTGTTTTTGCTGACTTCATGTGACTTTCCTAAATGAGAGTGCAGCTCTATTCAAATATTCTGCACTATTACTACAGTTACTCTAGTAAATAAACCACACGTATTTCTAGAATAACTGCAGTTCTTCACAGACACTCGGATATAAACTCAATCAAAAGGCAAAATGAGTTGTAGAATAATTTATAATTTTTAATATTTTTAGAGGAACAAAGGATCTTAACACAACTGAGCCTGTTTCAAAACAAGTGTAATTAAGCAAAATATTTCTATAATTAATTTGAACAGATATTCATGACAAAAGACAATTTACAGAATAAAGCTTCATGTGCATCTCTTTACATAATCATACAAAACCCATAATTCCACAGTCAGCAGAAAATCACATCAATTCATTTCATTTCAGCTGTGAAATAAAATAAAAAGCAAAACAGCTCATAACATGTTGATGAACTGTGATTTTTAACAGAACTTCAAAACCGTAAAAGGTGAAATAAAAGTTCATTGATTCAGTCAGTAAAAGACTTGCAGAAGGACACTGATGTGTGTGCGTGTGTGTGTGAGTGTGTGTGAGAGTGAGTGTGTGTGTGTGTGTGTGTGTGTGTGGTGGTGGTAGTGGTGATCACTCAGTACTAAAGCGCTGCTATCTTGCTGGCCTCACGCACTCCACTCAGATACGCTCCCGTCACCGTCTGAGGAAAGTGTCTGTTTGTGGCCTGCAGGAACACAACAACAAATGAACAACATTGAAAAGAATCATCTGATAACAACTAGGGATGAACAATACAGTCAGCCCACGGTTCGATACATACCTCGGTTTTTCAGAAAGGCTTTCAGTTCGGTTCGGTGGCTCGGCACATTAGAGTGTTTGTTATTCAATGCTCAGGCGACAGTAAGTTAATTTTTATTGCAATACTCTTTCTTACCTCCACTGCCTTTGTTATTTTCTTGTGTCTGTCTTAGGCCGGTCATGATAACTACTTTTTGTTTGGCAATATATTGCCCTGGAAATAATTGCCATAAATGATTTTATTGGTATTTTAAGACTGTTTTATGCCACTGACTATATAATGATAATATTTCAGCAGTAAGTATCCACACTAATCAGTGCAGTTACAGTGTTACACCAGTAGGTGGTGGCAAGGGACTGACTTTATAAGTGTGTGTGTGTGTGTACCTACTTAATAATAATAATAATAATAATAATACATTTATTTTATATATTGCCTTTAAAAGTTGCTTTCTCAAGGAGCTTTACATGAAAGCTTACATAAAGGAAAACAACAATATAAGACAATATACTATAAATTCAACAAGAAATAAATCACAAAACAATACAATAAAAAAGAATCAAATAAAAGCATTCCTGAAAAAGAATGTTTTTAGAAAAGTTCTAAAAACAGCTAAAGCATTAGTGTCCCTAATGTCAATTGGGAGAGAATTCCTCAGTTTTGGAGCATACGTTGAAAAGCCCCCCCCCGGATCGCAACCGTGTTTTGGGAACAACTAAGAGACCGTGCTGAGAAGATCATAAATTGCGAATTGGCGTATAAGGTGTTAAAAGATCTGCCAGATGCTGTGGAGCGAGACCATGCAGAGCCTTGTATGTAAGCAGTATGCGGTATTTAACTGGGAGCCAGTGTAACGTCTTCAAAACAGGAGTTATATGGTCGCCAGCCCTAACCCCAGTTAAAATTATAGCTGCTGAATTCTGCAAGTATTGCAATTTGTTAAGAGAGGATTTGGACACTCCAACAAGGAGAGCATTGCAATAATCAATATGTGAGAAAACAAAAGAATTAATCAATTTTTCAGCAACAGAAAAGATCAACATAGGTTTACTGTGTAGCTCTAGGGCAACACCATCAACTGATAGATCTATAGCAGCAGCATTTCTCAGTTGGTGGGGAGAGCCAAGAAGCCTAACTTCAGTTTTAGAGCTATTCAGACAGAACATTTTTAGACATCCACAACTTAATCTCAGAAATACAGTTGGAAAGATGAGGGACATCCACAAATTGACCAGGTTGAGAATGTAAATAAATCTGAGTATCATCAGCATAGAAGTGGTAGCTGAGGTTAAGGGATCTTAATAGCTGACCAAGAGGATAAATATAAATGCTAAAAAGCAGGGGACCAAGGACTGAGCCCTGTGGGACACCAGTACAAACAGGATCCACATCAGATCTGAAACCATCCATAAAGACAAATTGACTGCGACCCGTAAAATATGACCTAAACCAATCTAGTGCAGTTCCAGATACACCAAAGACAGTTTCCAGTCGATTTAGTAAAAGCATGTGGTCAACAGTGTCGAAGGCTGAACTAAGATTGAGTAAGATGAGAATCGAGAGAGCGCCAGAATCAGAAGCTAACAGTAAGTCATTAACAAATTTAACCAAGGCTGTTTCAGTACTGTGCAGTTTCCTAAACCCAGACTGAAGGGGCTCAAACTGATTATTGACCGTTAAATGGTTGTGTAATTGAGACGAAACAACACCCTCTAAAATTTTAGCAATAAATGGAAGATGAGAAATTGGACGAAAGTTACTGAGATTGTTCGAATCTGTTTTGCTTTTTTAATATGGGAGTGACAGCAGCAGTTTTAAGTGCTGTTGGCACAACACCAGTGGCCAAGGAGTCATTTATTATTGTAAGAACAACAGGGCACAAATAACCAAAACAGGATTTAAATAAACTAGAGGGCAGGGGATCAAGTATGCAAGTGGAAGCTTTCATACGAGCTACCTGTGCACAAAGAGACTCAGAGGTGACTAAGGAAAAATTAGAGAAGGGTGTACCGGAAAAACTTGGTAGATTAACTGTAGAAACATGAGAAGAACTAAGAATATCTTTGCAAATGTTATCAATTTTTAAACTGAAGAATTTAAGAAAATCATTGCAGGTCTGAACTGACGCAGTTAGAGTATTCGCACCATCTACTTTCAATAGACTGTTAATAATGTGAAAAAGCTGCCTAGGGTTATTATGATTATTGTCAATAATCTGAGAAAAATATGAAGACCTTGCAGTGTCAATTTCTGCTTTATATTGGCCCAAACAGGTTTTCCAAGCTTGATGAAAAACTGACAAGCCAGAACCACGCCATTTACGCTCCAGTTTGCAACATTCCACCTTCTTTGAACGCAAATTGTCATTATACCAGGGAGCTGTATGTACGAAAGAGGCATTGCGTGTTTTAATTGGTGCAAACATGTCCAAATTGGCAGCAACAGCATTATTAAGTAAAATAATTTTATGCTCAGAAGGGACAGAAGACAAATCATCCAGGCATGCATTGATTGAATTTGCAAAAGCCGCAAAGTCAATTGATCGCCATTTACGGAAAGAGACAGTATGTGCAACAGGCCTTATAGAATATGGTACCTACAAATTAAAAAGGATGGCTGAATCATCTGAGAGACCAACATCTACAGTAGAGAGATTTGACACCAAAGCATCATTTGCCATAACTAAATCAAGTGTATGACCTATACATATATATAGACAAAAAAATAATAAAGAATGAAATATGAACATTTTGAGTTTAATTTATTTAATTCATATTTAATTAATCTCTCTCTGCTTTATTTATTTAGAAATATTGAAATTTTGATTTTAATTTAATTTTAATTCATATTTAATTATATATATATATATATATATATATATGTGTGTGTGTGTGTGTGTGACCCTGGACCAGTGGTCTTAAGTCACTGGGGTATATTTGTAGCAATAGCCAAAAATACATTGTGTATGGGTCAAAATTATTTTTTTGTTTTATGCCAAAAATGATTAGGACATTAAGTAAAGATCATGTTCCATAAAGATATTTTGTAAATTTCCTACTG